GGAATGAAGGAGTGAGGTCTTATTTAGTTGTTAGTGCAAAGTTACAATGGCTTAATATAACTTGCCCAACAAAGCCATTTATACACTTAAGGCAAAAGATTCAATCACATTTTAGTTAAAAAGGGTATCCAAATTTCATTGCCAAGGGAGTGATTCAGTGACATTGACGTGCTGCCCAACATGAGTGCAATGGAAATATCTGGAGACTGGCTAGTGCTGGGTTTTCTCCCTGTGACTCAAGTTGCTGGTTAGCAGCTATGCCTCACTGGACTAATTTTGGTGTCACTAGTTATTAATATGAGAGCATCCATCTGAAGCAAACGTTTCATCAATAAAGTCTTTCTAAAGCTCATATAAATTTAATCCACTCCCTTTAGGCACTTCCTATTTATGCAAGTCTATTTCAGACGTTGCAACTTTTTAAATTTCAATGGATTTTGATGTGTAAAGTGAAATATAACTACGATAAATTTTGAGCATAAACTTGTCACAGAATCCAAAATGTCAGCTTAATGTTTATGTTTTATTTTGCAAACCATCATCAGGTGCCACTGTGGAAGAAATTCATCAACACTGGGAGTGGTTAGAACAGAATCTTCTGCACACTCTTTCAGTATTTGACAATAAAGACGATGTTATTAGTTTTGTCCATGGTAAAGTGAAGGTATGTTCAACCCAGAAAAATTGTTTTGAACAATTAAGCCTGCTTTGTAGGCTACTGGAAAAAAACTAAAGAATGAGCAGTTTTTTTTCGTATTGTTTGACTTATTTACAAGTAATCCCTATTTTGGTATAGACTTGAAAGAAACGAAAGTGCATTATTCTTTGGATAATCAGCATTTTCACATCATTTCTTAATGCTCTGGAACAATCGTTTGTCTCCCATGTGGGTGGAATCTTCAATTCACAAGAGTCTATCTGACTTAACCTGAATTTAAAAGTGTTACAACTTATTTTGACCATTCTTGGTTTAATGGGAACTGTTGTGCACTATAAGCATCCTGCTTTGTTCACAATCTATATTCTGTATGTTGCATTTTCAAACTAACTAAGGCTATGTGTGCTGGAAAGTGAGGGTTCATATCAACAGTATAGTTCCAGGGTCAAAGCTATCACTGTTATGTGTAAATGGTGAGGTTAATATGAATAAGAACTATAAGGTTCAATACAAAGGACGTTAGAGCAGGTTGCCAAGTCTGCTGTCCATATAATTCAATAAATTACTGCTTTAGCTGCTTTATATCAGGGCTTGCAACTAAAACAGCAAGGTTTGTGGTTTCCGTATGAATTCTGCTCTGGTATCAATGTAATCCACATGGCTGCGAATGAAATCGTGCTTAAAAGTTGTGAAACTTTTTAAGTGTGTGAGTTCTGCTGATAATGACATTGGAATATCAACAATCTTTTTAGAGTTGATTCTTAAAAAAAAACATTCGCTTAACCAAACCCCGACCAGCAATTCTGTGATACTACTACAGGTGCTCTATTCAATTACAAAGCAGTTATATTGCTTGATTGGGCTAGTTGGGATTTCAGCTCATACTCGTGTGGGGTGGAACCTTCACAAACTATATGTTGACGACACCAGGATTAACATGTCAGGGAATCTGGGCACATTTGCCTAACTACATCTTCAGCAGAAAACCTGTCCCTTGATTTATAGCAGATACTACAGTTGCATCAGATGTTTAAAAATGTTATTTTACTGAAAGAAAAATCTTAAAAACCTTTTGTTTCTTTTTGTGTTCTCTGGCTTCCATTGAATTTTGCATTTGTGAAATACTGGGACTATATTGTAAGCATGTTGATGTACAGACAGTCCCTGGATTGTGAACAGGTTCCATTCGTGAGTCCGTTTGCAAGTCGATTTGTACACCAGTTGGAACACCACACAGGACAATGTAAAATAGCTGCTCGTTCACATGAGGAAATGGTCATATGTCGGATCTTTAAATTAATACTAATGCATACCTGTGTGGGATACCGTTCGTAAGTACAAGTGTTTGTAAGTCGGATGTTTGTAAATTTGAGGACTATTGTATGTGTTGTCCTAAAGACTTGAACAAGAAGTGCAATGCCCAAGATTTTTAGCTGTTTAATCACGTAGAGTCTGGGAGGGAATTCCAGAGTTTTGACTCAGGAAGCTGATTGCTTGGTACAAAAATTGTGAGTGTCAAAATAGGAACAATGTGAAAAATGTAACTTTTCCATTTAGCTGTATTGTAGATTTGTTTAAAGATTTTCAATTCTGTTGGAATCAGGGTCTTATTGCTGAAGAAACCAGGAGCAAATTGGCAGAACAGGAAGAAGATCCTGAGAAGTTTCGGGAGGCTTTGGTGAAGTTTGAGACCCGATTTAATTTCCCAGACTTGGAAAAACTGGTGACATATTATTCATGTTGCTGCTGGAAGGGGCGGGTTCCCCGTCAGGGCTGGATTTACCTGAGCATCAATCATCTCTGTTTTTATTCTTTCCTGTTGGGTAAGGAAGGTAAGAAAAGATGAACGGTGCAAACCAAATAAATCAGTTGTGGAAAAGCTGTTTTATAATTTTCGAACTGTGCTTTATGTTTATTATTTTGAATCTTGCTACAATGCCTGGTGAAACTATACTGCAGGCAATTTCAACATTTTAATTATCTACACCACGAGCTAGATGGGGCAGTATCAACAAAGATCTTGTGGCTATATTATACCATTCCCGCATTGGGTGAGGGATCACATATGCACAATTACTCCTTGATATCTTCTCTATCTTAGCAATTTTTAAAAAAAAAAATCCCTACCGGTAGGGAAAGTTGAAATGGTAACTTTTTAGGAAGCCTATTTGAGCAGTTTTCTTAGTTGAACACTTAAGTGGAACAAATGAATTAAAAATGCTGGGAAGGAAAAGCCAGGGAACTAAAGTCCGGTGAGCCTGCTATCAGTGGTAGGTAAGTGGTTGGAGGTAGTTCTGAGGGGCAGGATTTATATGTATGTAGAAAGGCAAGGACTGATTAGGGATAGTCAACATGGCTTTGTGCATGGGAAGTCATGTCTCACTAACTTGATTGCTTCCTCAAACAACTCAATGAAGAGGATTGATGAGGCCAGAGCGGTGGACATGGTCTTTATGGACTTCCGTGAGACGTTCGACAATGTTCCACATTGGTTAACACGGTTAGATCATATGGAGTACAGGAAAAACTAGCTATTTGGGTACAGAACTAGCTGGAAGGTAGGACACAGAGTGATGGTGGTGGAGGGTTGCTTTTTAAACTAGAGGCCTATCACCAGCGGTGTGCCGCACGGATTGGTGCTGGATCCACTAATTTTTGTCATCTATACTCGGATCCAAATCAAATATATAAGAGATATGGTTAGTAAGTTTGCGGATGACACTAAAATTGATTTTGTAGTGGACAGCCAAGAAGATTATCTGAATGTACAATGGGACCTAGATCGGATGGGCTGATGGGCTGGGGAGCCGAGGAGTGGCAGATGGAGTTTAATTTGGATAAATGTGAGGTGTTGCTTTTTGGAAAGCCAAATCAGGGCAGGATGTATACACCTTAAAGGTAAGGTCCTGGGGAGTGGTACCATACAAAGACCTTGGGAGTGCAGGTTCATAGTTCCTTGAAAGTGGAGTCACAGACAGGATGGGGAAGAAGGTGTTTGGTACACTTGCCTTTATTGGACAGCGCATTGAGTATTGGAGTAGGAAGGTCATGTTGCAGCTGTACAGGACGTTGGTTAGGCCATTTTTGCAACACTATGTACAATTCTGGTCTCCCTGCTTTTCGAAAGATATTGCGAAACTTGAAAGGTTGCAGAAAAAAATTACAAGGATGTTGCCAGGGTTGGAGGGTTTGACCTATAGGGAGGGGTGGGATAGGCTGGGGTTTCGGAGCATTGGAGGCTGAGGGGTGACATTATAGAAGTTTTTAAAATCGAGAGGAGCGTGGATAGGGTGAATAGCCATGGTCTTTTCTCCAGGGTGGGGAAGCCCAAAACTAGAATGCATAGGTTTAAGGTGAGAGGGAAAAGATTTAAAAGGGATCTAAGGGGCAACTTTTTCCACACAGAGGGTGGTGTGTGTATGGAATGAACTGCCACAGGAAGTGGTGGAGGCTGGTACAATTACAATATTTAAAAGGCATCTGGATGAGTATGGGAATAGGAAGGGTTTGGAGGGATATGGGCCAAGTGGTGGCAAATGGGACTTTATTAATTTGGGATATCTGGTCAGTATGAACGAGTTGGACTGAAAGGTCTGTTTCCGTGCTGTATATCTCTGACTCCATGACTATAACTGCTGATTTTCATTTCACTTGAGATCCGGGAAGTTTGGGAGATGACTGATTCCATCGTTTTGGTTAAATTGTTTGATTTCTCAAACAATGTTATCTGCAGTGACCTTGTATTTTCCAATATAATGAAATAGGATGCTGAAGAGTATTCATGCTATTCAGATTTGAAGTGTATATGTAACCTTTTGGTACAATTGCAAATAGTGAAAATAGGAATGTGATGAGCATATAAAATGGCTGCAGCAGAAATTTGCCGAACAAACTTCCCTTTTTTTAAAAGGAGATTTCTGCAATTGTGTCACTCAATGTCAGTCTTGTGTTGGCCGCATGATGTTTAATCGAATTGGGAAGATTTTAATAGCACATTTTTATTTCTGTTTATCAAGTTAAACGAGCAGTTGTTCTCAAACTTTCACCAAGTAAAAATCCAGATATAATTTATGGCTAAATGAAATACTATATTTATTGAAGCATAATGGAAATTTATTCTTAAAAAAAAAAGTGAAAAAAGGTTTGATTTTTCTGTAAATAGTTGGGAGGAGAGAGGAAAAGAAAACTTGTTTGTCAACTGCTGTTTGGTTTTCTATAAATGGGAAGTTACAACTTGGAAAGAAGCTATGAATAGGCATTCTCTGCAATGGCCCTTCTTTATGTAGGAGTATATTTACATAGATTGTGCCAAAGTTATTTACCATCCATTGTGAATGTGACAGGAAATATCTTCGAATAATGGACCGAAGAGAGACTGACACTGAGAAACTAGTGTGTATGTTACAGGACTCTACCACTGGTCAGGAGCCAGGACAATTTATAATTCAGTTTGTGGGAATGTGGTTAACTCTGCTGTAAATTATGTTTGACAACTTGAATTCTATGCTGTCCGTACATAGAGGAAATGTCAACTTTTTCCTTTTTACTTTGTGCTTAATTTCCTAGTATTGTAGAAATCCAGGCTGTAATATCTTTTTTAAACTGCAAGCCAGGGTAGGGATATGCAAGGTACTAAATGAAAATAGCTTCCAGCATTCATTCCAAATTGGTGTGAAGGGTTTATTTTCTTCTGTTTGTCCCTTATGTTCCTGCTATCCTTCCTCTCCACATCCCCCTTCTCAGACCTCTCAGATACCATAGTAATGGGGCAGAATCTTCCATTGGTGATGGAGGTCTCACCTGAGACCCGCTGGATCTTCCGTGGACAGCCAAGAGGGTTATCTTAGTGTATAATGGGCCGAGGATTGGCAGATGGCAATTTTACTAACGATATCTCCTATATTCTGATCCAAATTAAAAAGATAAATGACAAAAATTCGTGGACACAGCACCAATCCTTGCTACACACCGCTGGTCGTAGGCCTCCATTTGAGCCACCAGTTTGCCCTTTTGGAATGGGGTCTCCTGCGCACAGGTGTGCTGCCCCCCCACCCCGCCACCACCACCACCCACCCACCTGACTGGAGCTGCTGGCTAATTCAGAAATGGCAGCTACTGTGTCCCATGGCATGATGTGGAGTAATTCTGGAGTTGTAGGAGGTAGATAAATGATTTCCGTGATATGACGGCAACAATAGAAGTGTGGGCAATGCCTCCTACTGGCATCCCCTTAGGCATTTCCCCTCTGCCACCTTAGATCAGGCACTGATTGCCTTTTGATCAAGGCCTATCCTACAGCAAGTTAATCAAGAAAAAAAGATGTTGAATTTTGTCACTGTGTGGATGTGTTCCTTTTGTCTTCAATAAGATTTAGGCTGGAGAACTATTTTTATTTCAGTTATAGATTACAATTCTCAATGTTGACTGACATATTTGTGAAGCATTCTATCTCGCTTGTCAGAGCAGTGGCCTAAACTTTGGTCAAAGATGTGCTTTTAAGGAGCAGGAGATTTTTAGGAAAGAGGGTGATGGATGGAACTTGGGTGACTGAAGGTGTGTCAACATGAGTGGTGAAAGTTGAGTGGATCTTCAAGATGCTGCAGTCAAAGAAATGGAGTATTCGGGGCCAGGATTTCTGGGTGAGATTATAGAGCCAGGACAGGGAGAGAACATGGAAGGATTTAAATAACATTGAAAATTTAAGTTGGAGCTTCTAGCATACTCGATGAAGAACTTGGTGATGTTAGTGGGACTTGGTGAGGGATAGGTTTTAGGTGAGTGGAAGTTTACAGTGTGTAATGAATAGGCTGGTAAGGAGGGAGCTGTTGTTTTCTTTTAAAAAGAATGGAAGCATAGAGGATTATACTTCTATTTCAACATGTAGAAAAGCTTTTAAACTCTGCATTAATGTCAGGTAGTTGGGTGGAACAGCATGAGACTTAATGATCTGATGATCTGATGCTCTGAAAGTGTCCTGCAGGTTCTACTGGCTGGTTACAAAGCTCAATGAGATGTATTCCTTTTGATGGAAATAAGTCTTTGCTGTATGGTTAACAGAAGTTGAGGCTTTAAGTAATGAAATATTATTAGACAAACACATCTTTTACAAAATACACCAACAATTACTCAAGTAAACACCAGATACTCTTACAACTTTCTTGCTTAAAGCTAGCTTGTAACCTACATTCCTGACTATTATATTTCAGTGAAACTGATTATCCCCTGGGCTGATGTGAAAAGACTAGAAAGAACTTCAAATACCCTTATCACAGGAATAGTTCGAGTAACCACACAAAGTAAAGAACGTGATTTCTCTATGTTTCTCAACATTGATGAAACATTCAGGCTTATGGAACTATTGGCAGATGTCACCATTCGAAGGTTGCTGGACAATGAAGCATTTGAATTGGATCCTCCTTTACAAGAACCTACACAAATTACAAAGAAGTAAGGAACGTAAAGGAAAATTTGAGTTTTTTTTTGCAAAGTGACTAAGTTCTCAAAATAGCCCTTTATCTGTGTTTTGTTTCCGTCATTTAATATAGCCTCTTAACATTCGCGGAGCTTCCTTCTGGTTTTGTAACTTGATTTTAGATCGATTTGCGTCATGCTTAAATTAATTTGCACGTTCTGAATTATTGACCTGAAAATTTATTTCCTGCGCAACAAGAGACAGCCCATCGATATTCTTATGCAACATTTTAAATACTAAATTAATCTAGCATTTTCCTTTTGAGGGGAGGTGATGGTGCATTGGTAATGTTGTTGGACTATTAATCTAAAAACTCCAGGCTCATGTGTTCTGGGACATGAATTTGAATCCCACCATGACAGATGGTGAAATTTGAATTCAATAAAATGCTAGCTTGATAGTGACCGTGTAACTACTGTCAATTGTTGTAAAAACCCATCTGGTTCAATAATGCCCTTTAGGGAAGGATGTCTGCCATTCTTGCCTGGTCTGGTCTACATGTGATACCAACCCCATAGTAATGTGGCTTACTCTTAATTCCTCTGGACAGTTAGGGGTGGGCAGAAAATGCTGGCCTAGCTGGTGATGTCCACATCCCATGAACAAATCTATTTTTTTAAAAAATTGGCTGTACAGATTTTTTGGAGTTAATGTGGTCTGCCTATTCAGCTATTTGGAGTTTATTATTTCCAATTGTTGTTGATCTGAGCAAAGTACACCCATTATTCTTGGTGTCCCTTTTTCACCCACTAGTCAAAAGTGGTTTGACATGTTGTGATGCTTTGGCTGTCCTGTTTCTATTAATTGTACTAACTGTAAAAGTAGTGATGTAAAATGAAACCTGCACAAACAGACATCTGTAAGAAATAAACTGTTGGCAGCCTCAATAACTTGTAACAGATGCAACCTGAGTCTTGCATTTTGCAAGTATTCTCAGTTTCAATTTGGGACAGCCGTCATTGTCCCCAGTCGCTGACTTAAATCACAGGACGCGTGTCAATGTAAGGTGGCATGAGCGGCTAAAATGATTTCTGTGACATGGGGCTTGCTACTAGCATTTGTAGCAACAGAGAAACCACTTTCTTTCGCTTGAATTGAGTGCTTGCATGGCTGTACCCTACAGAGAGAATATTTCTGTTTTCCACTTCTCTAAAGCTGAGCATTCCAAATGGTCATAGAGTCACGGAGTTGTACAATGTGGAAATGGACCCTTTGGTCCAACATGTCCATGCCAACCAGATACTGTAAAGTAATCCAGTCCCGTTTACCAGAATTTGGCCCATATCCCTCTAAACCCTTCCTATTCATATACCCTGTCCAGATGCCTTTTGAAATGGTGTAACGTACCAGTTTCCACCACTTCCTCTGGCAGCTCATTCCATACACACACCAGCCTTTGTGTGAAAAAGCTGCCCCTTCAGTCCCTTTCTAAATCTTTCCCCTCTCTCCTTAAACTTATGTCCTCTAGTTTTATGCCCTATCCTGCAGCGAAAAGACCTTTGATATTCACCCAATCTGTGCCCCTCCCCATAACTTTATGAGCGTCTATAATGTCACCCCTCAGTCTCCAATGCTCCAGGGAAAATAGCCCCAGTCTATTCAGCCTCTTCCCTATAGTTCAAGCCCTCCATCCCCTGTAACATCCTTAAATCTTTTCTGTACCCACTCAAGTTTAACTACCATACGTCTGCTGCCCTTGTCCTTCTAGATGGAAGTGGTCATGGAAGGTGCTGTCTGAGGATCTTTAGGGCCATCAGATACTTGGAATCTTCATTGTAGCATCCCTAAGCCTATAAGAATGACCAGTGCTCTCTTGAAGTGTGAGGGTACTGTCCCTAGAAGCCCAGGAGATAATGTTGTTTTGTTTTTGGAGATTGATCATAAAATAAAATGAAAATGATCAATCTCCCAAAAAAGCTCACATAACACCAGTGAGCATCACTTGATTATTTGAAATTCCCTGCTGCAGTTCAGCGCAGGCCGACAACCTCTGATCCACGATGGAAGTTCACCACTGCGAGGGCAGTGTTGCTGGGAGTGACTGTAGTCTGAAGAATCATAGAGGTGGACATGAGTGAAATTGGAGCAGGTGCATGCTCTGCCTTCGGAGGGAGTGGGAGGTGAATTTGATTGGGATGAAAATGCCAAACATCCATCCCAGATAAAGTAATTCAAGGGAACAAACTCTTTAGGAGATGCAGCCAATACTGGGATATCTGGCTGATCTAGTCCTATTGGAAGGAAATAAGGACAAGTCCTTTTAATATTTCCAATTTTACAGATTTCATGACACTTGGCCTCAATGCTGCGTAATTACAAAACTCTTTCTTTCAGTTAGGCTTGGAAACCTTGATGACCTTGCTGGGCTGAATCATTGTTTCTAAATTGCATTCGGCTGAAAGATCTAATCATTTTCTTTCCAACTCTTTCATCCACTACTTGGTTGATTTGGGGTGAAGGGTATGGGTGGGATGTGGTACCATCGAGGACACAGCACTTGTGAGGAGACAAAGATTTTGTCTAGGGTCTCCCTTGGTATCTTGTATAGCTGGGAATGTGCATGTGTACACCAGTTAGCATCAGTTCGCTATTACCAATTTGTATTCTGCAGTTGAGTTGCGTGTCAACATTATTTCGGGCCTCATGATTTTGTGTGTGGTAAAAATAATACTAGTATCTGAAAATATTGATCTGCAACTTTTTAAAATGGAAAGCTAGTGTTGATTTATAAACTTGTCATTGAAAGCTAAGCTTTTTACTCTAATTATATTTTGTTTTCTGTTCATTTTGCTGCAGAGATCTTGAAACTAGGATGCAAAATGAGTATTTCCGGGCATGTTTTAGACTTTCGCAGGCAGAGAAGCTGATCAAGATAGTGCACTGTTTCCTGTGGACGCCGTATAACCAATGTCACACTGCAGGGAAGTTGTATATTTCAGAAAACTACATATGTTATGCCAGCAAAGAAGAAAATGACTGTTATGTGGTCATTCCACTCCAAGAGGTATGGGACTGTAGTACTAGTGTTGCAATTCAAAGTGCGTTTCCTACTCGGGCTTGAAACTCCTCCAGGGTTGAATTTAAAGGTGCATAGTCCTAGAAACGTACAAATGTTCCATCTAAGATGCATTTTAAAATCCTGAATACAAATCAATCTGGAAAACTGCTTGTGTCCTCCTCATTGCCAAGAATTTTTGTTTTTGGAAAACTATTTTGTGTTTTCTCGTTCTGTAAAGATATTAAGGCTGTCGTTCTGGAGTGAGAGTGACTGAGATGGCCTACTAAAATGGACCATCTCGGTGTAACACAGTACTAGCAGGACTGCTTGCTGTGCTTTGTAGTCCAGGAAACCTGTTTTGGAGTTGCACATTGCCTAACATGAACTCAGCTAGTATCAGTTACAAATCTGTCTTACTTTTACTTTGTTACTCGCATACCGATCTAGGCAGGGTGTACAAATGTTGATAAAGAAAAAAGAAACGTGATTTCCTTCTGACCTTTTGTTTTGAAGTAACTCCAGTTGCTTTATGTCAGAGTTAGAGCATAGCCCAAAATATTAATTTGCTTTGCTTCCTCCCCTTGCACCACGCCCTTTTAAAGTTGCCTTTTGAAGGAGGGTGTGTTTGGTGGAAGTGTATGAAGAATATTTGAGGCAGTTAGAGAATGTTCGAACAAGGTATTGTTTCTTATTGGTTATTTTCTTTCTTGGCAGCAAATTCATCGCATGCTATCCTTTGATGGAGAGTGCAATGACTGACTGCCATTTCTGATATAGTTTCTTGGATTAAAAAAAACACCTGCCAGTTTGAAATGGTCTGAGTGCTTCCCTATAGATTAACTAATGTCCCATATTCTGTCAAGACTGGGCTCTTAAAGTTTATTAACAAGACTTCTTATTTACACTGTTATAAAATCTCCAACTTTTATATGGTCTGTGTTCTGTACTTTCTGATTATGTAGCGCAAATATACAGTAGCTGCCATACCAATAATAGCACTGGCTACAGAAGGTGAGATGGATGCCTTCATAGTAAAATGTGTGACGTTTTACTATCTTAAAGGTATACTGCCTAAATAGTCCAAGATCAATTCAGTAATAAAGCCACCCTCCCAGACCCTTTCCCTTTTTAAATAGCTGGATAAGCTGGGACTTTCTTCACTGGAGCATAGGAGTTTGGTTTATAAAATCATATGGGGTATTGATAAGGTTAATGGGAGGTGTCTCCCCCTAGGATGGTGGATTTCAAGACTAAGAAGCATATTTTCAAGGTGAGAGGAGAGAGATTTAAATCAGACACAAGGGGCAGCTTTTTTTTAACACAGTGGTTAGTGTGTGGAATGAATTTCTGGGGGAAGTGGTGGATGTGGGAACAGTTGCAACGTTTAAAAGATATTTGGATAGGTACACAAATAAGAAATATTTGGATGGGTGTGAGCCAAGCGCAGGCGGGTGGGACTAGTTTAGTTTGAGATTGTAGTTGGCATGGACTATTTGGACCGAAGGGTTTGTTTCCGTGCTGTAAAACCCTATGACTCTATAAACAGGTATCCTTTTCCAAAACATGTATAAGGATGCATATAGATAATATATTATGTCTACACATTAAAATGATGCTTTGGACATGTAACAAGGCCAGATCTAGACCTTATTCTATTATCACAACTTCGCTTATCAAACCCTGTTATGTGCTATTTGCTGTCACAGATGGAGGCGTGTCAGTTAGCATAGATGCGTGGTTGTCATCTGGCACCATCTCCCTTGGCGTGTGATGGGTGACTGATATGCAGTTTGGATGTGTCGCCTATTTCTTTGCAGTAATTGACCATTGACCAATGCAGCAGCATATGTCAGAGACTGGACACAAGAACAGCAATTTTCCAAGAAGCCACGTATTCATATGAATATCTCAAACCTGTGCTACCTGTTTCTGCTTCAAGTTGGAATAACTTGTTGATCATGTTCTTGTACCGTTTTCTACCTTCTTTCCAACAATCATTGTGCACGTGTGGTTGGGTGGTGGGAGTGTTAGAGGAAAGACTGGGTGCATCTTTCTTCTAAGCAGAAAGTTACTCCTTTACCTTTCAGGGATGGTACACAGATTTAATGGAGCCATTGCTTTACTCTGGACTATTGTAGAATTTATGGTATAAACACATTTTGAGAGACTGTTAGACTGAGGGTGGTGAGAGGTCATATGTTAGATAACCTATTTGCAGATGTTTTGAAAGTGTGCACTAATGGGCTGCAGACTAGAGGGAGAGACAACTTATTGAGGACCTGCAAACGTGCTGAGTATGGCAGTCAACTGTTGCACTAGTAAGGAAATTTGGTGAGGTACTTTGTCACCAGAATGTAATCATGCCCTGGAACACGGAAGCTATGAGTTGTGATCTTGAACTGTGGATCAGAAGTAAACCCATGGATAGAGAGGTTCTTTAGATTTACTGAGGCTGATGGAATTGATATAACGAGTTGATCAGTGTCCTTTTTATTCACTTGTGGAACTTTAGGCATTGCTGGCTGTGCCAGCATTTATTGCTCATTCTGAATTAGCCTTGAGAAGGTTGGGGTGAGCCATCACCTTGAACCACTACAGTGTGCTGTAGATACACTAACAGTGCCATTAGGGAGGGAATTCCAGGATTTTGACCCAGTGACCGGTGAACAAGTGGCAATATATTTCAAAGTCAGGATGGTGAATGGCTTGCAGGAGAACCTGCAAGCGGTGGTCTTCCCATGTATCTATTGCCCTTATCCTTCTAGATGGAAGTAGTTATGGGTTTGGAAAGTGCTGTCTAAGGATCTTTGGTGAATTCTACAGCACATCATGTAGATGGTACACACAGCTACAGAGTGTTGGTGGTGGAGGGAATGGATGTTTGTGAATGTGGTACCAATTGAGTGGGCTGCTTTGTCCTGGATGGTGTCAAGCTTCTTGAGTGTTGTTGAAGCTGCATTCATCCAGTTAAATATTCTGTCACACTCTTGACCTGTGCCTTTTATAGATGGTGGGCATGCTTTGGGGAGTCAGGAGGTGAGTTACTCACTGCAGTATTCCTAGTCTCTGACTGCTCTTTGTAGCGACTGTTTGTTTCTTTTTTTATATAAGGCTAATCCAATTCACTTTCTAATCACTGAAGACCCTTAGGATGTTGTTAGAGGGGTATTCAGTGATGGTAATGCTGTGAAATGTTAAGGGGCAATGGTTAGATTGTCTCTGCCTCTTATTAGGAATGCTCATTGCCTGTCATTTGTGTGGCAGGAATGTTACTTGCCACTTTTCAGCCTAATTCTGAATATTGTCTAGGTCTTGCTGCATTTGGGCATGGGCCGCTTCAGTACCTGAGGAATTGTGAATAGTGCTGAGCATTGTGCATTTATCAGTGAACATCCCCACTTCTGACCTTAATCATGAAGGGGAGATCATTGAAGCAGCTGAAGGTGGTTGGGCCTAGGACACTACCCTGAGGAACTCCTGCAGAGATGTCCTGGAGTTGAGATGACTGACCTCCAATAACCATAACAATCTTACTGTGTGCTAGGTATGGCTCTAGTCAGTGGTGTTTTCTCCCTAGTTCCCAAGGGGGAATCCAGTTTTCCTAGGGCTCCTTGATCCCACACTGTCAAATCTGACTTTGTTGTTGAGCAGTCACTGGCCCGTCACCTCGGGAATTCAGCTCTTTTGTCTGTGTCTGAGCCAAGGCAGTAATGAGGTCAGAACCTGAATGGTCCTGGTGGAACCAAACTGAGCAGGTTATTACTATGCTAGCACAGTTAATGGCACCTTCCGCCACTTTCCAGATGATCTGAGAATAGCCCAAAATGGAGGAGCATTGATTCATCAACTGAGGGAGGATGATGTGTGCTAATCAGCAGGAGGTTTCTTTACCCATCTTTAACCTGGTGCCATGAGAGAAATGGTGGAATTGACCAACAACTGGGCATTGTATTTGGCAACACTTCCTCCTAGGATCGCTTTGCCAGATTACAGCTGTCTTGTGCCTCCTGGAAAACTGCTGTGTTTTTTTAAAAAATTAAACAGAATCAATCCAAAAAGAAAAGTGAGAATGTACTCTCAACTATTCATTTGCTTTGCTTCATTTTTGGTTGTTAGATGTGACTCTAAGCTCTGAACCTGAGTGACAATTAAGAGAAATAATCTCTCAATTGCCACTGTAGCTATCACCTTTTTAATAGTGACCCATGGACTTAATGCCTAATTATAGCCCCATGGTGGTTCCATTGATCGAGCTCCACTGCCAGTATGCTATGGTCTGAGTGCATCACTATATGTTGCTTCATGTTACATATACCAGGTTCTTGTTGAAACACATGTCTTAAAGTTCATTAACAATGCTAATAATTTACAAGATTTAATAGTCAGTAAGCACAGAACCCAGGTTATGTACAGTAGCTGCAATACTAATAATAGTACTAGCTACAGGAGGTGAGGTGAATACCTTAACACTAGAATGTCACGTGTAGAGATATCACCTAACTGTCTTTAAGGTGTGCTGTCTGTATAGTCAAGAATCCATAATACAACCGTTTCTACAATAAACAGTTCTGGCATTTCTTTTGCATTGACAGGTGGTGACAGTGGAGAAGATGGAGGACACTAGTCTCCTGCCCAAACCAATTATTGTCAGCATTAAGAGTAAGAGGGTATTTCAATTTACAGAAATTGAAAATAGGGAACACCTTGTGGAGCAACTAAACAAACGTCTTCAATTTCTAAAAGGAGGAAAGCCTGGTTGCATTCATAAGCCTAGAGTTGAAGAAAAGGTATTATTGACTTTCTGTGTTTAACATTAATGGTAACATGTAGCGCAGAAGTCCAAACTATCCTAAAATGCAAGTAACATTTTAGCAAAAAGATAATTTCTTGTTTCTCTTCAAAGAAATAATCTGCATGTAAAGACAAATAATGTGGATGCTAGAAATACTCAGCATATGTAGAGAAAGAAATGAGTGAGTGAATATTTAAGGTCACAAATATTCCAACATTTTATTTTCTCTGTAAATTATACTTAAAAATTAACCAGAATTCAACCACAATTCTGTGACTGTCAATAATACGGTATCACATGTAATCTCCTACTAATCTCCATGGCTTACTGTCTGCTAACCTGCAGCTGGAAGAGCAACAAAAACACTACACCCAGGGCAAGGCAGGAGTTTAAATAAAAATGTGACTGTATTTTGGAAAATTTTCAGTCTTGTGTGTGAATGTACAGGGAATTGGATTTGTCTGTTGCTTCCTGTTCTTGCTGCCTCTTTAACATCTATGCTTTTGGTCACTTTTGTGCATTTTCAACTATTTTTCTCTTGTTTTTGCATCCTCCTTCACCCATATCAGAATGTGCTTTGGTGAAAATTAACTGTTTGTTAGATCTTGGAGGTTGTGTGTCATTGGATGGATTTCCAGGTCAGTGCATACTGTTGTAGTCTCTCACATGACCGCTATCCCTTTCTTAAAAAAAAAATCTGAAATTCAAGATCATTACAAAATCAAAAAATGAAGCCATAAAATACCATGTTTTGAAAGATAAATGTTCACTGTACAAGAGCCAAACAAAGAGAACATAAATACAAACTTAGATGACCTGCTTTATTCTTAAAATGCATTCAACAGAAGTTGAACGTGAATTAACAGATAAATTTGTGATTCATTATAAACTATAAATCGCACAATCTGAATTAGCTTCACAGTCCAACCACCTGTAGGTCATTAAATTCAGTCACTGGCACAATGGCAGTGTCCCTGCCTCTGAGCCAGAAGACCCAGGTTTCAAACTTCCACCTACTTCAGAGGTGTGTTATAACACTTCTGAATAGGTTGTTTAAGAAATAACTAGTGCTTCAAAACACTGTCTTCCTTTTCATAAAGAATTTCAGCTCCTCCTCGGATGTAGCCTGTCCTCAGCTGTTTGCAACACACAAGCAACCCATGTTCCACAGATCTTCACCAAAAATGGCACATAACTGCTGAACCTCCTCCATTCAGTCTGGATGAGAGTAGATCCTACCGATCTCAACTTCAAGTAACAGAAAGAACTGCAGCAACTTATTTTCAGCTTCTGGATTTGGGCATGTTGTCTTCAGCGTGCCTATTATGTACCTTGAACTCCTCAACTCCTAAGAATGGATGGCTGTATATCACTATGTAACATAGCCTTGCTAGTTTTGGTTTGCCCAGAAGTTTTGGCGTATAAATCTGTTTTGAGTCCCTCCTCAATTAGAGAGTCAGAGAGCTGTACAACACGGGAACAGATTCTTTGGTTCAACTCGTGCATGCTGACCAGATATCTTAAATTAGTCCCATTTCCCAGCATTTGGGCTATATCCCTCCAAACCCTTCCTATTCATCTACCCGTACAGATGCCTTTTAAATGTTGTAATTGTACCAGCCTCCACCACTTCCTCTAGTAGCTCATTCCATACACGCACCACCCTCTGTGTGGAAAAAGTTACTCCTTAGGTCCCTTTTAAATCTTTCCCCTCTCACCTTAAACCTATTCCCTCTAGTTTTGGACTCCCCTACCCTGGGGGAAAAAAAGACCTTGGCTATTCACCCTATCCATGCCCCTTATGATTTTAAAAGCCTCTAGAAGATCACCCCTCAGTCTCCGCTCCAGGGAAAGTAGCCCCACCTTATTCGGACTCTCCCTATAGCTCAAACCCTCCAATCCCAGCAAAATCCCTATAGATCTTTTCTGCGCCCCTCTAGTTTAATAACATCTTTCCTGTAGCAGGGAGACCAGAATTGGCAGTAATCCAAAAGTGGCCTAACCAATGTCCTGTACAGTGCAACTTGACCTCCCAACTCCTATACTCAATGTACTGACCAATAAAGGCAAGCATACCAAATGCTGCCTTCACTATCTTATCTACTTGCGACTCCACTTTCAAGGAACTATGAACCTGCACTCCCAAGGTCTCTTTGTTCAGCCACACTCTCCAGGACCTTACCATTAAGTTTATGTCTTGTCCTGATTTGCCTTTCCAAAATGCAGCATCTCATATTTATTTAAATTAAACTCCACCTGTCAGTCCTCAGCCTATCTGATCAAAGTCTGTTGTATTCTGAGATAACGTCCTTCACTGTTTTTCACTCCATCACCGATTTCGGTGTCATCTGCAAACTTACTAACCATTCCTTCTATATTTACATCCAAATCATTTACATAAATGACAAAAAGCAGTGGGCTCAGCATCAACCCTTGTAGCACAACGTTGGTCACAGGCCTCCAGTCCAAAAACAACCCTCCACTGCCACCCTCTGTCTCCTAACTTCAAGTGAATTTTGTATCCAATTGTCTAACTCTCCCTGGATACCATGTGCTCTAACCTTGCTAACCAGTCTACCACACAGAACCTTGTCAAACGCTTTACCGAAGACATAGACAACGTCCACCACTTTGTCTTCGTCAGTTTTCCATGTAAAGGTCTGCTTCAGGAAAAAAAACAGGCTTGGCAACCTCAGATTCCATGAAAATAACTTCAAGAAGGATTGCAGTTAAAGGAGAAAAGCAAATCACTTCTAAACTTGTCTGCCTTTTAAAAGCATCTTTTTTATTATTGCGTGGTGGCTCAGAGTAATTTGATCCGCTACACTGAAATTGTTCTGTAAAAGCACTTAACTATCGATTGTAAGTGACTTCTAAATAAAGTCTGTTGCTTAACCAGCAGAGATGTGAGTTTGTATATGTATTTCACCCAGGCAGCAAACAGTATAAAATGTTGACTATAAAATCCAGCCTGCTCGTGCTGATGAATTGTTTTGTTAAACGGAGGTTATTTTAACTGAAAGGTACACTTCTTGCCTCCACCCTGATGTGAAATGCCTGTGATTTTGTAGTGAACATCATTTTTCACATGCAGCGGCCTGGGAAACACATTTGATGTCTCAAATGCTGGAGAAATGCACAGCTACACGGCCGGAGAAATGCACAGCTACACGGCCAGAGAAAACTAAAGCTTATATTCGTATGCGTAAGGTAGCCAATATCTGCTCTGATCCAACACATCCTGGTAAGTGAGGGTTATTTAATGCACTCATAACAATAGTTAAAAATTCTTCTGTCATTTTAATTAGTAAGATCATCTAAATCGTGCATATAGTTATCATGTCTATATTAATTTTTCTGTATTTTAAATAAACATATGTCTTGTAAAATAATTTTGCATGGATAATCAATTTGATTAAATGAAAATAATGTTTAGTTAAAAATGTTATTCTATTTCTCTACAGATAATTTGCTCCAAGACATTTTGGAGTCGGTGGATTCAAAAAAATCATCAGACAAGAATTTAACACCCACATGATGCCAAACAAAAAAAAGTCTTCATGTTGGGCAGAATCTTCTACTGGCCTATGAACAAAATCGAGTGAAAGAGTTGTCCCCTGTGCTTCCAAATTTGGGCCAAGAAAGCAGTTACAGTACAGTATCCTAAATATCAAGCTACAGTCTTTGACTAGATGCACAGTAGCATGACAAGATTGCCTGTGTGCCTTTGGCAGGACAGGCTGACTTTGTGGTTAATCAGTTACTCTGCTACTTAATGATACAGGATGTTTGGCATGAGAACTTTCTGAAGTTCTCTATCTAGCTGTGATGCAAATACTAATGTAACCAAGTATCTTGTGTGTCGGTTACGTATGATTAATCTGTGTTTTTTTGGAAATTGTATAAATAGTACCAATGTTTTTATATAGTTTTCAATATTATTCCAGAATTGTTCAAAATAATGCTGTGAAATGACCAGTACATGCTTTGCAATAAAAGATCTTGTGAAATTTATTTCCACGAGTTTGATTGCTTTATTTGAGTGCTCCTCATTTAGACATCAAAGGAGTATATCACATGGATTCACTCTTATTTTTGCCAGAAGAATAAAGGAGGTTTACAGTTGCCAAATGGAAATGTGGCATTTGGACTGGTGGTACTTCAACAATACTGGTTTCATATATTTCCATATGAGCTATAATGCCGTCTAATGAGATGCAAAGTGCTAATTTTGACAGAATATTTCCTGTTATCTGTATACTAATCTTTGAAAACAAAAATAATTGCACGATATGACTTGTTACCAAAATGTTTAAAGATTTAGTTCCTTAGTTGGTGATAATGAAGTTTTGGGGAGTGGGGGTAGGGCTATGGAGAATGAACAGATCACTAATGAAACTGCTTTGCACTGCGTAGCCAAGTCAGATCCACAACAATTGCAGTATGTATGTGTAAAGCCAAATATTTTCTGTGTAATTTCCTCATGAATTTCAAGTTACCTTTTTCGCTATTTTAAGAAATTGTTCTTGGTTGTGCAGCACAAGTTTTTTCCATTCTCGTGTGTCTTAATTTTGCATACTGATCTGTTAAATGTTATTAGTGTAACTGATTCATCTTTTCATTACTTGGATTCATAATGAAATTAGTGCTAACATTTCTATAAGCACAAGCCTATTTTATGTATTGGAATACATTCTTTACTGTTCGTTAAGTTTAGACACTATTCTTGACAGTTACTTTCAGAAGCACTATTTATAACATACTGAAATATTAAACCATGCTAAAAGCATAATGTGATTTATGTTCAAGTGTCATCTGGACCCTGGTGGGGACAGCCTCCATTCTCTGTCAGAAAATGTTGTTTCAAATGCTGCTGTAAAGGTTGTGTGAATAATCTGGATGAACATTCTACAGTATGTTTAGTATTGGGTTATTGTAATTTCCATTGGTGAGATATGAAACTGCTTGTTCTAATTGTGCAGTGTATTAACACAT